AGATGGAGGAAGAAACAAGGGAATAAGAAGAAAAGAGGAGAAGAGAGAGATGGGTGAGCCGTGTGCCGTGGCGGGGAGGCTCCGCAAAATGCTTGGTAGCCAAATAAAAAAAGGTCGCTTTGGTGATATGCCATCTACTTACTGCATAGTACAGTAGGTAACTCTTACGAGCATTAGCGATGGAGACCCTTGATTGCTTTTCCTCGGGGAGTTTTTGTTTATTCGTTTGGACTTCAGACAAGGAGCGGGAATAGAATGGACATGGGAGCATAAAAAGGGTGAATGGGTGAAAGGGTGAATGGCAGCGAGAATGTGCCGAGTACGAGGCTCATGTGCCGAACAGGACGGGATGATGTACTCTTTACGTGCGTACAGTGTAATACAAGGTAGCATTAGGAGCGGTATATAGGTTGCATTACAATAGTACTGCTACATAGTATGTCACTGGTAGTTGGATGTATAGATGTTTGCTTGGCAGCAGCCGGATCAAAGTAACACGAAGACCGAGCCGAAGAGGGTGGTGCGTGCATTGATCTGTGCCGTTGACGATGCTTGGCAGAGTTGCAAGTCTGGCCCATGACATAATATAAGGATTCGGCATGTCGGGCATTGCCATTCATGCTATGCATGTGAGGTCTTTTGATTGGCTGGTCAAGTCGGTTGACTATTGTAAATAGCCATAGTGGAAAAGGGTTGTTTGGAAATAAGACCATTTCGGTTTCAGCCACTTACTTGTCTTGTAGCATTTCTGCTCATGTGAGTGCTGCAGGCTGCATGCACGGACTGCACGATATATGCGGCATAGTAGTAGTATCTGGTGACAGGGGAGTGCATCTGACGTATAGTAAATAACGGGAGACACCTTTTGTTACCGCCCGGCATTAAGAGGAAGAAATTGGCTCTTGTCAGATCTGAAACGCTCTGGTAGGTAGTATCCACGGACTTGGTACGCCGTTGCGGGGTTGTCGTTGGCTGCTATATTTGACGGATGTTACGCTGCTTAGGTACCTATACGTTGACATCGCCGGCCTTGGCGTGAGGCGGTTTCTGTTGGAATCTCTAATAGTGGAGAGAGGATTTGATCCAATACCTCGATCTAGGACTCTGTGATTGACCTGATGAAGAGATGACTGGTAGAGGACACAACCTTGTAGGGGAATGTAAGTCCTGGGCTAGGCTTTGTTGCAGGTGTTTGGTGTTTGGTGTAAAAGGGCTGACTCCAATGGCGCTGGATACTTTGGCTACGGCGATTGTTTGTAACTAAGCTTAATTTTACGTGGAATAGTGTATGCTAGTTTCCATGTCTTGCAGGCTGCGTTGAGCAAGTCATTTTCCTTGGTTCGTGCTGCTTCGGCTTTCACTATGACATAGAACAGAGGTCAGTCAGCACTGGGGAAATCGAATCGATCCAACAGGGGAATTCGGGAAAGGGCATCAGTAGATCCTGTAAGATGCAGAGATAGACTATTGTGTCTGGCCTTATTTCGGGAATAAATACCTAGTAATGTGAGCCGTGCTTTGTAAGTGCCGCCTGAAATCAACATACATGTACATACACAAGCGAGGCATTCTAACGCTGAACTAGCAAGTCATTAAACCAATAGGGATATAATCGTAAGATTTTGCCTTTTGCTTGGCACAGAACAAGGCACAAATCTCTCTGCTTTTGACTCACTCCCCCGTCGCGAATTATGACCAGTTAGAAATAGCGTGTGCGGATGAGGCGTGAGCGATTGAGATGGAACTATTGGATCAGCGAGTGTTTCCTCCGAGGCGCAACTTTTACTCCTAATGGATAACTCCGGGGTAGACGTGGACTAAAAGAGCCTCACTAGTTGGATTCGATCATCTCCTTCTCTCAATAGCTTAGCTAGTGCTATCCGTTACCGTGATGGCCAAGCCTTTACTTCTTACATGCAACAATCGAACAAAAAACCGCCTCGCGATCTATTGCTTGTCTAAAGCTGAAGGAATATCACCGCTAGCGAAACAACTCGTACAATTGGTCGTATTTGAAGAAAATGTGTGTAGTACTATGTACTTGTATGTGGTATACGCTACGATAGGCGTGCATTACAATGGTGACCAAAGCCATCGTAAGCGCCTCCCAGGGGGGGTTTGGAGCTGAAAGATTGCCAACTTGCGTACCCTTGCTGATGCCGACGGTTTAGTACCTATCCGTGTTAGCGACGGGATAACCGGTGTCAATTCTCGGAGCTGGCTCCGCGTTGCTTCGGGTTTAGACAGGAAAAAACATTTGAGCCTCTTCACTCAGCTGGTACATTTGGAAGGATGTAGGCAGGGGCAAATCATGGCAGATCACTTGGCTCACGACCCTTGGCGAAGATTCTGTACGGGTAGAACGAATGGGTAAAAATCCCGCAGTTTTCATGGGCTTGGCTTGTTGAACTGTACATCTTTGAGTCCTTTCTGTCCTCGCTTCCGACGCGATGCGAATCAAGTCTAAAGGCTGTGCTGCCACGGCCAACATCAATAGCCCCTCTGTTGTCAAATACCATCCTTCGGGGTGCTCCTCCGGGCTGCTACTATCGATACATGGGAGACTTAGCGATCCCCGAACCTAGACTGCTGCTACGTAGCAATAACATCACGACACTATACTGCCCAATACTGCTACCAGACAAGGGATGCTTCACCTTGTCTACAATCAAAATGGCGTCATAAGGGTTGCGGCCCATGTCGACAAGGGACACGAAAATCAGGTTCCATCGAGGGTGTTGCCTGGCTACCGGGCATTTGGATACCCAGATTGTCATTTCCTGGGTCCTGAGATGGCCAGTGCTCTTGTTCTTGATCGTTTTTGACTGGGATTGGCGCGGTCTGGAACTGCAACGGCTCTTAACGAGCGCTAGCCGCCCATGAAATCACACCACTTTGCATAACTACGGGCTCGGTAATCCAGAGGAAGATTGAGTCGCCGGTCTGTTGGTTTTTGATTTGTTGAAGCCATGGGTTGTGAACGGAGATAGGCCGAGAATCAAAATTTCCCGATGGGTTTACGAAAGATCAGGGTTCTTTGAATACATGTACTTACTGTAGGGAGGGCTCAGCCCGGCCTTTTTTGGAACGATACACGATACAGCCGGCCAGGGTTAAGATCCTACAATTAAATTTCCCACCCCTTAGGTAACGGCATAATTGATTTGGCGTAGAACTCACGTTTGTTCGCCTTTTCTCACACCTCCGTTTATAGATCGGCCGCGTGTCGTTGAAAATGGGGGTTAAATTTTCGGTGGCGGGATATACGGGGGTGGGCGCGCGGCGGATCGGGCCTCGCGTTTATGGGGGAGTGGAGTGAAAGAAAATTCGGCGAAGAGAAAAGAAGAAAAGTTCGGCCAATTAAGTAAAGAAGAAAAAAAAGTACAGCTCGATTGGATCTTGGTGGATTAGCTAACCGAGACGAGCCGTTTGTTTGGTATAGCTGAGGCTGCCGTGGGCTCTGAAATGGTAGGTGGCATTATTTGCAGAGAGCAATTATTTACATCCCCCAAGCAGAGTGTAAGAGAGTCTGCTATGCTCATTGACATCTTACAAATTGAGAATAGTGGATGGAATTTTTTTTTGGGCTAGTAATGATTAACAATCGCTGCAGATTCCTCTTCTACTTCCCACTATTGATTCCGCGTCATATCTCTAACACTGTTCTATACCCGTATAAGTAATGTTGATACAGGTACCTACTGGAAACAATTGCTCCGTATTAACTAAGCGGGCAATTCACAGCTAAAAGCTAGCCGCGCGTGTGCATGCCAAGAATCTCTAGTTACCTGCATTCAACAGACGCTGGGCTGAGCTTCTGCGCTTAGCGAAATGTAGAATAACATACGACAACGTACGACGTCGCGGGTATTTCCTATCCAGTCTCCTGTAGCGAGCGCAAAACAGAACACTAATTTATTGTTTTTGTCACTATCTGAGCTTTACGGGCAAATAGAGCAAGCAGTTGATCTACATAACAAACACCAGTGGTGGCTGTGTTGTACAAGGTACCTACCTACCCACATGTAGGTACTAAGGTACATGTAGTCTTGGACACTAACGACGGTTAAGATCATGGTAGAGGCGTATGAGGGGAAAACATGAGATGCGACGCAAGAAGACGCAAAAATGAGCTCTACAATGGCAGCATCTTGCCTTTCTTGCGTCACTCCTCATCTCTGTGAAACATTTGAGGCGTCTGTTTGCGGGCTTGCCAGAGCGGCGAGTCGGATGATGCAGGTTGTGGCTGAGAAATCTGTTTGTGCAACTTGTATGCGTTTGTGAACAACATCACGCGATTGAAGTGTCTGGCTCCGGAGGAAAGGAAGTTGGGTAAGTGTTGCGATTATGACTTGAAGAGATGATTTTTTTGGGGGGAAGAAAGAGGCAAAGACTGGGATTTGTAATTAGCTGCTTTGGAATGCTGGCTGATGAAGATGTCGGGAAGATGAATGATGCTAGAGAGATAAGACTGCTTGTGTAATGGATCCTATATGCTTGCATGTGTCTCTGCTACGAAGATTGTACACGTTCTTCACTGCTATCTATATGCCGAGTGAATATTGCAAGTATACTGGGCCTGTGAGTAGAGAAATTGTGTTCTAACAGAGGGTAATAGGCCAATATATAAGTAGTTCATGGATATTTTATCTAGCTAGCATGCTTGACTGTTGGATGATTTGAGTACACAGTTTCATTTTATAGAGCGAGATTCTTGTCACCATTGGATGCACTGGTCTTTGCCAACCGCGAAATGTCTTTGGGCAAGCAACTGGGAGTGCAATGTATTATTATACGAATCGTGAGTATAAGCTGTTTCATCGTTCATATTGATTGATCAGACTTGATTCAATTTGATTTGATTTCATATCAATTCATTATCCTAGCGCTAACATTACAATAATAGTACAAAGGAAAATCATTAAATGACCCATCAAATGAATGTTCCCTGTGGGCTACCATCCACGATGTTGTTCCTGGTGCGAAACACTATCTCATACTTAAGACTGATAAGTCTTGTCACCACCAAAGGTCTTGCTGTTGTCGAGGTCGCTGTCCACACGGGGATCGGCCTTGTTCATCACGTCGGACTTGTGGGGGCCAGCAGTGTTGGAAGCTGGGCCGGTAGTCTGGCGATCAGATCCAAAGGCACCGCCGGTATTGCCCAGGCCGCCGTATGCGCTGGTAGTGGTGTCGCTGCCGAGGGTGCCAGTCTGTTGGCCCAAGTGGCGCTCACCACCCAAGTGACGCTCACCGGAACTGAATCCCGAAGTCGAGTCCAAGCCGGAAGATGTGTCCAAGCCGGAGTAGCCACCGGTGCCGGTGCCGGTGCCTGAGCCGAGGCCTGAGCTACGGGTGTCTAGGCCAGATGTGCCAGATGTGTAGTTGTCAGATCGGCCGGAGGTGTTGATGCCGCTGCCGCCTCCGAGAGTGTCAGTGCCCATACCGGTACCGAATCCACTGCCGGAGGTAGCTCCCGAAGTACCAGCAGTTCTGGTGGTTCCGATGTCGTGGGTAACCTGCTCAGAGCCGAGGCCAATGTTGCGGCTGCCACCGAAATCAGAGCCGACTGACTTGTGTGCGCCAGCAGACTTGGAGCCAGGCTCAGTCGAGCTGAATGTGTTTCCAGTGCTGGTAGTGGTAGTTCCAGTTCCATGACCGCTGGTAAGTCCAGTATCACGAGTCTGCTTTTCAGAGCGGAGGCCCATGTTACGGCTGCCATCGAGATCAGAGTCGATTCTGGGGTCGGCCTTGTTCAGGGTGTCAGACTTGTGTGCGCCGGCAGTCTTGGAAGCAGGACCAGTCGAACCAAACGCGGTTCCGGTGCCGCTGGTTCCAGTGCTGGAGCCAGTGGTGGTAGTTCCGGTTCCGTAGGTAGAGCTGGTGGTATCAGTTCCGTGAGAAGTGCCGGTGGTTCCAGTCTGGGTAGTGCCAGCGTGGGTAGCCTTCTCGGAACGAAGGCCCATGTTCTTGCTGCCATCGAGATCTGAGTCGATTCTGGGGTCCGCCTTGTTCAGCATATCGGACTTGTGCGCGCCTGCGGTTGTGGGAGCAGGGCCAGTTGTGCCAGAAGATGTGAGTGTGTCGCCGGCAGTGTTCCTGCCCTTGGTGTTGGACTCGCCATAGGAGTAGTTGTCACCACCAGTGGTGTAAGAGCCATCATGGGTGCCCACGGCCGCGCGGTGGTCGCGATCGGAGTCAATGCGAGGGTCGGCAGCATTGGCAGTGCGGGAGCTGTGAGTTCCGTGAGTGCCCTCGGGCTGCTCAGTCTTGTTGTCGGAGTGGCTGTGAAGCTTATCCTTGACCTTTTCGATGAGTCCAGACATGATTGCTGATGTTTGAATGTATAAGTTGAGTGTATAAAAGGATATAAGTTTAAAATAAAGTTTTGGTTGGTGCTTTGAGAGTGATGTTGTTTGATTGGTGTGTGATGATGATGGGAAATCCAGGAGTAGGATGGAGGAGCATCACGACTATATGGCTCTTCATCCGAATCACCTCCCTCCGCAAACGAATGATCGCTGCCTATGATGACATTGTGGCTCATGCTGTCACCTCGACCGATGGCGTTCAACTTTGCGAAGCTTTCTGGCCCCATTCAGATCTCACGAATCGCCCACTGCATCGGTATGAGGTAACCCAAAGACCCTCCTCCATATGCTCGTCATAAGTGAAATGTGTGACGTTGCCGTCAACCGTCGACGTCTCCACCAGAGCATTCGAGCCAGTCCGAGACGCTCTGGACACAGAGAGTTCTAGGCTCTAGCCGCACAGCCACGCAGCTAAAGCAAACAAGGCAATTGGAGTTACATAAACTCAGATACCCCAAAGGCCAAATGCTAATTACTTGGTAAAAGCGGAGAGACGGGCGATCCAAGCAAGAAAGCTGATTCGTGTTTGCGGGGCCTGTCAAACAGCTCTGCTGGAGTCGTGATGCAAAAGTGCTGCAAGTCAGAGGGAAGAAGAAAGCCGATTGAGTTGTCGATGACGCGTGGTGGCGGGGCGCACGGGTTGTGGAGTGCTCTGTGGTGGCGCTGGACAGCAATCATCGTTACATCATCTACGAGCTGTGGCTGGTGAGCAGAGCTGCCACAGGCGCGTGCTGTCGGTGCGTTGGTGGCTTGACGCGGTTTTGACGAAAACATGCAATTCGATCCAATGTTTGTGAATCAGTAGGGCGTTTCGGAGGTTCCCCAAGGCACGGCACTTCGCCTCGTGATGACGTGCGTGGTTGGGATCTACAGCTGGGGGTTTCTGCGGTTCTTGAAATCTCGATCATGGCGTCGATGGTGCGTGTTGTTTTGGTATAGCCAAGGACTCTGGAGAAGCCTCAAACTTCTTGAAACGGAGATTTCATTACGAAAAGGGAATTCCTAGTCCCGAATCTAAGTTTCTTTCTTCAGACTCGGCAGATACGATACGCTCAATTCAGATGCTAAGTCGTATAGATGATGTTCATTCAAGGGGCACAGCGAGATAAGCATGATGGTAACAGTAGATTTATTCCATAGTAAACAAAGATAAAGTCGTAATAAGTAATTAAGTGCTAGCTAAGCTGGGTATAGTCATTATAAAAGAGTCGTCAGAAGTGGTATTATAGGGAATAACCCGAATGAATCGTCATGAAGCAAAAGCCATTTTTTCTTGTTTCGTACTTCCCCTGAACATCACACACCTCAACTCCAGCCTCATCCTCACACCGCATTATGAACCACAGAAAACCAAGAAAATGAGAGTGTACTAGTTGGATTAGTAAGGGTATCATGAATGATTATGTTGCCGTATTGGCTAACTCCTTGGTAGCTAGCTTTTAGACACGGCTTCGGCGGTACCAGCGGCGGCTGTTCTGGCGCTGGGCAGCATCAACGGTAGCGCGGCGTCCATGGCTGGTGACCCAGTAGATTCCGAGCAGAGCAGACACGAGCCAGAGAAGAGCGGATAGGAATGTAAAGGCAATGTCGGCCTTGAACTTGCCGCACTGGTCTCCGGAGATGGGGTGGACGTTGTTCCAGTCGAAGATGTAGCCGCAGGAGCCATCAAGCATCTATAGAGGGAGAGTCAGCTTCTGAGCTACGTTGTGCTGGAGCATATATGAAAGAAAGGACATGTAAACTTACGTTGACCAAGAGGCCAAAGGCGGCCCACCAGCACAGACTGAGGATGATGTCGACGGGCCAGTGCACAAAGGACCACGAGAAGGGAATAAGCCATATCAAAGAAAAGAACATGGACAGTGCCGCGATGACCTCGGTATAGATCCAGCGGCCTTGAGACCAGTTGGACGCATGGCGGTACTGGTGAAGGTGCTGGCCTGTCACTCCGGCGACAATGGTGGCGAAGACGAGCTCTGCCGCTCGGAGGACAATGTTGATGATGCGATCCAACGCCATTGTTGATGATTTCCTTTTATTGGATGCTTTGTTGTGTTATACAGAGCTGAGAGGCAAAAGAGGCAGATGAAAACTGACTGCTCTGCTATAAAGGGAATCAATGAGAAGAGGAGGATGTAATGTTGATGCTCCAAGGAGATGATGGTCAAAAGGGAGACTGTTCGACTTTGTCTGGAAGGACAAAGACGCTGCTCTTTATTCCATTCGCGAATGAGCAGCGCTGCCTCCCATGGCCATTGATCAACAACACCAACTCGGTCGCATCGTCATACGTAGCACACATGACCCCCCCTCCGTGGTCACTATTTCTTTGACTACCTTTGCTAAAAGCCGGTTTGCCTCGTCCAGCTGGAGGGGTTCCCGATCCAGGCATCACAAAGCCGTGGTTTGCTGCAGCGACATCGCCTGTCCAAACACACGCAGCCGGCGTTAAGCGAGAAAGAGTAAAGGTCAATCATACGGCCCTCCCTGGTTCTATACCAGCTTGTCAGGCCTTGGAAAACCCCTAAACAATGCCGTGATTGCCTGATATCTCAAGTGGTTTGATGCATGCTGTGATTTGCAGACAAAGGGTTGGGCAGCGCTGCTTTCAATTTGCAGCATTGAATGAATGAGGTCATAGCCGGCCTTGGTGTGACCCCATGGCGGGCTGTTATTCGCTGGCGCTGACATGGTGTTGCATTGATGGACAAGAGCCCAACAGTGACGGACTCTTGTCGCGAATTAATTAAATCTGGGCTGCCGTTCCCAGTTTTTGGAGCTAGGACTTGGGCTCTAAATCCTACGGAAAATTACTTGGTGTGACGTGTGAACAGCAGATTTTGGAGGAGATGCAATCATCATTACTTGATGAATGAGTAAACATGAGCGAGACATGCATAGACGTGCATCTCTGTATGCATGTATTGGCGTAAGAGAGAATAAAAGGGAAAACGTCAATGCCAGGGGTTTCGGAGCAGCACGTGCACGTTCCTGCATCCGCGTATCGTCTCGTATCGTCTCGTATCGTCTCGTCTCGTACCTGCGATTAGACGCTCTTGCCCGAACCAGAAGCATTGGGATCTCTTTCCGTAGAATGCTCACAATGTACTTTCCATTCATGAGCGCGGAATTTATCATTTTGTAATCTTAAAATGCCCATATACTTTATTAACGGATCAAGTGAGACAAGACATACCATCGAGCTGTGACCACATCGGCGGCTTTGATGACAGTGACTCTTTGTGAAATCTCATTGACGAGCTATTCTTAGCCGACTTATGCTTCGTTTTCACATCTTCATTGTTCTTCACCTCAATGTGCCTTCATCAGCGTCTAACTCAAAGCAGTGTTTCTTGAAATGGCTCTCCGTGAGATGGCATCGACAGTCAGCGTCCATAGCCCATAGCTGCGCAATGCGGTAATAGGTAGGAAAAACAGTATGAGAAAGCTGCGTATAATAGGAAAGACGGGCCCAAATTCATCCCATTTACAAATTGTATGCCAGTAATTCGCATCTAGTCTCGGTGTCTAACATGATTTTGCGCCTATAAATTCATTTTCGAATCAAATTGCCGTCGCCAATATATGAGAATTCAGGAGCCATATTCCACCGCCAAAACTCACAGATAGCCCATCATGGCTCCAGGAGATAAAAGAAGCAACGCAGTTCCTACCCTTACCATACCCAAACCGCAAACTCAGCTACAACAGCCCCTGGAGGCAAAGACAGAAGTCATCAAGAAGGCTGAAAGTGATAATCAAGATGGACCAGAGAGATTTGCATCATGGTATCCCCTTCTACAAAAAGTCAGACGTGAGAACCCTAACCTGCAACACCACGGCGCGGTTATCGCACAAGTATGCCCAGACAAGGTTCAAGAAAATGAAGACCCGGACTGGATCCCAAAAGATTGCGATAAAGTATGGATGAACAAACTCGTCCCTTACCAGGAGTATCCAGCAGTGCAATTGAAGAACGGCATTCTCACGCCCCAATTGTCCAAACCGCCGAGGAATTTGAAATGGCTGCAAAAGCGACTTTTACAGCCCCGGGTTGATTCCGACTGGACGCTCGCAGGGTGGCAGAAATACAAAGCGTATCCCCATTTCAAGCGGCATCGAGATCTTACTAGGGCAGCCATGCGGTATTTGTTCAAGATATTTCCAGAGCGGTCCGGATATCAGAGGGCGTACTATCAGCGCTGGTACGACTTCCCCGAATATGCGCCTTTTGCTCAGGGCCTCGAGCAGCCTTGTCCTGGATTCATCCAAGGATTCTCACTGGAAGTTTATAGAGGCATGGATGTTGAGTATTTAAGTGCGGCAGTATGCTATCGATCCGGTGGTCGATCACTTACTCTCCCACACATGTCTGGTGAGTTTGCAGTGGGAACTCTGGAGGCCGAAGAGGCGGTGAATGCACGACATGGCGCGGCGCTTGTTTACATGAGAAATGCTACTCTTTTGCATGCCAAGATGAAAAAAGAACCAGAGGATGTGGCGGTGATTGTAACATTCATCTCAGATGGCCTGTTTATCCGCTTCTACGCCCATTACGAGTCCAAATCTCCCGACGGCAAGATAGTATATCACCAATATCCTATCCTAGCAGCAAATCTGGCGGGATCATACGACGAGTTTCTCCGAGGCGTTGCCATGCTTCGGAACTGTCAAGACCTTGCTTTTGTTTTGGCCATGGAAACCAAGAATCACCTTGAGCGGTATCATGCAGTCAACGGCATCAATGCTTGGGTGTATCATCTGGACAACGGCGAACACATACTATCAGAAAGCGAAGATAGTGCGGTTGAAGGCGTCGGTGGACAGAAAGACGGTATCAAGGAAGATCAAGCCCAGCAGGGGAAACAACACATCTCTCAGGATAAAGACACGGGCACCAAAGGCTCAGAAAGTGACTCCAAGGAAAATGTTCACGGAAACAAAGATGAGGGCAAGAAGGGTGCAAGTGACCCACAGGAGAAGAGGAAGAAGGAAGATGATGCTCAACCTCCGACTACTAGAGTGCTCAGGCCTCGAAAGCGAGCGGTTCAAGAAGACAACAAGCCAACACCGAAACCTCGGAAACGAAAAGCCAATGAATATGCAATCAAAAAACGTCCAAGAAAGCGCCTAAGACTAAAAAGTTGAGTCACTGCATCACAGCAAGAAAATAAGACTAAAAAAGAGATGAAGCCTCTACGAAGCTTATAAGTGGGAAAAAGGAGAAAAAAGAATGACACCTGAGGGATTCGAACCCTCGCCTATTTCTAGACCGCGAATAGATTTGTTCGAATGCTGGACTCGAACAGGACCTGAACACGGCGCCTTAGACCACTCGGCCAAAGTGCCTTGAGATGATTGGATGCTGGGATAATTTCCAATTACACTATGTGAGCGCTACGCACTCATGCACTGGATGTACAAGTATGTCGAGGCCGCTTTGCGGAGATTTCAAAGGAATATGAGGCGGCGTTGCGATGCCGTAGGAGCAAGTAATTTTCAAGGGTAGTAGTAATAGAATGTTGACGAGATTCCATTTCCAGCTTAATTTCTGCTGTAACACTCCCCATAAATAGCTCGTAGATGGAGATAAAGTAACAAGATAAAGCTGTCCAACCGAATTATAAGTCAAATACCTAATGATGCCAGCAACTCCGTATCTCCACGGATCTCACTTTTGGTAGCTCGGAGGCGGAACCCCGCCACTTTTAGCAAGCAACTGGAGCTCCTCCACACCCCGCCATCGAAAAAAGGGCTCGGCAATCATCGCATCATGTACTTAAGCAGCGTCGATTCATCCGACTTCGCAGTATTATGAGATAATTGCTCACTAAGCAGGCTTTGGCGTGAGTTTTAAAGCCCTTCAAATAAAGACATCTCGCCAGGCTGATCTGACTTGGACAGCTTCATGGTCTGCAACTGAGAGAGCCATTGATACCCCTCCAAACATCCCACTTATCCACTCCATTATAATATCACACTCATTCACTTGCTGCCATGGCGAATAACACGTCCAAAGAGCGTGGCATTCGCATAGCCATCGACCGCGGCGGCACCTTCACCGACTGCGTCGGCGAGCACAATGGTGAGGAAATCATCATCAAGCTGCTCTCCGAGGACCCGGCAAACTACAAAGATGCGCCCCTCGAGGGCATCCGGCGCATCATGAGCCATTTCCTCAAGCGGGAGATTCCCCGCGGCGAACCCTTAGACACCACGCAGATTGACTCCATCCGCATGGGCACCACGGTGGCGACAAATGCCCTGCTGGAGAGGAAGGGCGAGAAGATTGCCATGGTGGTGACAAAGGGCTTCAGGGACTGCTTGACGATTGGGAATCAGTCGAGGCCAAAGATTTTTGATTTGGCCATTCGGAAGCCGGATGTGCTGTATGAGCAGGTCGTGGAGATTGACGAGCGCGTCACATTGGAGGACTATGCTGAGGACCCGGAGAGGAAAATCACAGAGGCTGGTGTCCAAGCGGGCACAAAGGAGGCAGAGGGCAAGGACCTCGTCAGGGGTCTATCAGGCGAGACAGTCAGAGTGCTTAGACGCCCTGAGCACGACGACATTAGACAAAAGCTGCAAGAGGTGTATGATTCGGGCATTCGCAGTATAGCCGTCTGTCTCATGCACGGATACACATTCCCCGAGCACGAGGCTCTGATAGGCAAGATTGCAAAGGACATTGGCTTCCAGCACATCTCGCTGAGCCACGAGCTGATGCCCATGGTCAAGCTGGTGCCGCGGGCGACGTCGGTTTGCGCAGATGCCTACTTGACTCCTGCTATTCGAAAGTATATAGACGGCTTCCAGGCCGGCTTTGAAGGAGGCCTGGGTACGGAGAGCGTCAAGCATGAGAAGGGAGCTAGGGGCGCCAGATGTGAATTCATGCAGAGCGATGGTGGCCTCGTCGATGTCGACAAGTTTACTGGTCTCAAGGCCATTCTGTCTGGTCCTGCGGGAGGAGTAGTTGGATATGCCATCACATCTTATGACGAAGAGACTAAAATCCCTGTTATTGGATTCGACATGGTAAGAAAGCCAACCCTTCTGCTTTTATACTGCTTAATATTGACAACGAACTTTTAGGGAGGCACAAGCACAGACGTATCTCGTTACGGAGAAGGCCGATACGAGCACGTCTTCGAAACAACCACGGCCGGCGTCACCATCCAATCTCCCCAGCTAGACATCAACACTGTCGCTGCCGGCGGCGGCTCCCGTCTCTTCTTCCGCAACGGACTGTTCGTCGTGGGGCCCGAGTCCGCCGGCGCGCATCCAGGCCCGGCGTGTTATCGAAAGGGCGGCCCTGCCACCGTCACGGATGCCAATCTGTATCTGGGCCGCCTGCTGCCGGAATTCTTTCCCAAAATCTTTGGCAAGAATGAAGACGAGGGACTGGATCTGGAAGCGAGCAGAAAGGTACTGCAGGAATTGACGGACCAGGTTAACCAGGAAACAGGGAAGAAGCTGTCCGTGGATGAAGTCGCATTTGGATTCCTGACTGTTGCAAACGAAACCATGACAAGACCTATCCGGTCCATCACCGAAGCAAAAGGCCACGACACCTCCAAACATCGACTGGCGACTTTTGGTGGCGCTGGCGGCCAGCACGCCGTCGCCATTGCAGAATCTCTCGGCGTTGGCCAAATCCTCGTTCACCGGTACTCATCAGTCCTATCAGCCTACGGTATGGCTCTTGCAGACGTCGTAGACGAGCGACAGGAGCCAGACTCATCCGTCTGGAAAGACGACGGAAAAGTAGTCGGCGAGCTGCAAGCCAAGATGGAGAAGCTCAAGGACAAGTCGCGGGCTGCTCTCAAGGAACAAGGCTTTGACGAGAGCGAGATTGTGTTTGAGGAATATCTCAACCTGCGATACCGCGGAACGGAGTCGGCGCTGATGATTATCAAGCCCAGCAAGGAAGAGGCAAAGGCCAGCTTTGACGGCAAAGAATGGGCGTTTGGCAAAGCATTTGTCAAGCAGCACCGGTATGAATTTGGCTTCACGCTCGACGACCGGGATATCATCGTGGACGACGTGAGAGTCCGTGGAATTGGAAAGAGCTTCCGCCACCAGGAAAAGTCTGTGGACCAGCAGCTCAAGAGCATCAAGCGACAAGAAGCCTCTGCAAAGTCGCAACACGGCGAGCAAGAGGTTTACTTTGAGGGCGGGAGAGTCAAGACTCCAGTCTTCAAGCTCGAAGACTTGAGCGAAGGCGATGTCGTAAACGGACCGGCTATGCTGGCAGACGGCACGCAGACCATTGTCGTAACGCCGCGGACCAAGGCGCTCATTACGGGGACACATGTCGTGCTGGATATCGCAAAGGATGGTGCTAAAGATGAGTATGTTTCCTCCATCCCTTCTCTTGGGGTGTCAAAAGTACTAATCAATCATTTCAGGTCTCATCACACCGTCGAAGGCGATCGCGAGGTCGACCCCATCATGCTCAGCATCTTCGGCCACAGATTCATGGCCATCGCCGAACAAATGGGCCGCGCGCTCCAGAAGACAAGCGTCAGCACAAACGTCAAGGAAAGACTCGACTTCTCCTGCGCCATCTTCGACGCCGCCGGCAATCTCGTAGCCAACGCGCCGCATCTCCCCGTTCACCTTGGCTCAATGTCCCACTTGGTCCGTCGCCAGGCCGAGATCTGGAAGGGCCGCCTAGAGAAAGGAGACGTCATCATCTCGAACCACCCTTCATACGGCGGGACCCATCTCCCCGACGTGACGCTGGTGATGCCCGCCTTTGACGCCAAGGGCGAGAACATTCTCTTCTACGCGGCATCCCGCGCCCACCACGCCGACATTGGAGGAATCAGCGCCGGTAGCATGCCGCCGCACTCTCGCGAGCTGTTCCAAGAGGGAGCCTCCATTATGAGCGAGAAGCTGGTCAGCGGCGGCAAGTTTGATGAGCAGCGGGTAATCGAGTTGTTCTACAACGAACCAGCGCAGTATCCCGAATGCAGTGGCACGCGATGCCTTGCTGATAACATCAATGACTTGAAGGCTCAAGTGAGCGCCAACAACAAGGGAATTTCTCTCATTGAGACCTTGATTGAGGAATATGGCGAGGACACTGTCCAGTTCTACATGGTCAATATCCAGAAGAACGCCGAGCTTTGCGTACGTCGACTTCTCAAGGATGTCTACAAGCGGTTCGAAGGCAAAGAGCTATCCGCCGTTGACTATATGGATGATGGAACTCCCATTCAGCTCAAAATCACTATTGACCCAGAAGCAGGCGAGGCAGAATTCGACTTTGATGGAACCGGCCCTGAAGTATACGGCAACATCAACGCTCCAGAGGCAATCACTTATAGCGCCATTATCTACTGTCTCCGCTGCCTCATCTCCGAGGACATTCCCTTGAACCAGGGCTGTCTGAAGCCAGTCCACGTCAAGATTCCGCCCAAGTCGCTGCTCTCGCCGTCTGCTGGCGCTGCAGTCGTAGGCGGCAACGTCCTCACCAGCCAACGTATCACAGACGTGGTCTTTAAAGCTTTCCAGGCTTGTGCCGCTAGCCAAGGCTGTTGCAACAACCTTACTTTCGGCTTTGGTGGAAACCAATCTGGCAAAGAAGCTGTCAAAGGCTTTGGCTACTATGAGACCATTGCCGGCGGCAGTGGTGCCGGGCCAGATTGGGTTGGAACCAGTGGCGTACACGTCCATATGACCAATACACGCATCACAGACTCGGAAATCTTTGAACGAAGATACCCAGTCCTCCTCCGAGAATTTTCCATTCGGAAAGGCTCCGGGGGCGACGGTCAGCACCGTGGTGGCGATGGTGTTATTCGAGATATTGAATTCCGCATACCCCTACAAGTATCCATCCTGAGTGAGAGGCGCGTGTATCACCCATATGGCCTCAATGGAGGCGAGGATGGTGACTGTGGACTGAACCTGTGGGTCAGAAGAATAGAAAAAACAAGCTGGGAGCAATCTCTCAAGCACCTTGACGGAAAAGGAGATGCCGAAAAGATCGAATATGAAGAGCGGCATATTAACCTGGGAGCCAAGAACTCGGCTGCCATGAAAGCAGGGGAGCGCATCATCATACACACTCCAGGAGGCGGAGGCTGGGGTAAGCCAGGCAAAGAGAGCAAGGAGAGGAAGAGGACGGATCTTACTGAGAGCTGGAGAAAAGGCAGCGGTGCAGCTAGAGACGAGGCTGCCTTGCAGGCCTAAGACTTCCTGTAAAGCATACAAATAGACGAAGAGGCCGGGTAGCAAATAGAACTATTACTCACTATGCCCCTCAGGGAAGATGATCTCCTAGACTAAGCTGAGCTAAATCTTTCCAAGGATCCGTACGAACTTTTTATGCCATCGTCTGGTAAGCAGTATTACTACTGCTAGACCTTTCCAGAACTGTCACTTCGTCAAAGCCCCAGATCCACTTCAGAAGTGCGTCTACCAACACTTCTCAATACAGGGTTACATCAGCCGCTTATGCCGCAGGTTTCTGATATGGTGCTGTTGGGTCGAAATTCTTAAACAAACCAACAGCTGGCCAGTAAAATGGTGTTGTTTTCAGCTTCAGCCCTACAGCTCAGGCTGCCGATCTCCGCTGTGCCGTGGTTGCATCCTTGGCCCCCAAATCCTTCCAAGGCGTAGCTACTGCAGTAGGCAGCATACTACATGTCTTTTGCCGGCCTGTGCTAGAACATATGTGACCTTGCATGCTACTCTCTCGCCAATTACAAGGCGTACCATGGCTTTGGAAATGGCTCCGCCATGGTTTATGGGTAGGATCGGTGATCGATTCACGATGCCTCAAGGCGGCGTTTCGCCGTAAGGCTTAGTACCCGTGGGAAGATCCGGGCCGCCGTCGTTTTTTTCTCCCTAGCCCCACAACTACTCCAAGAGACCCATGAAAGTGCTTGTATGCAGCACTTGGGGTCTGTCAAAGAACAATGCCGTATTGTTTTTGTGTGTCTAGGTGTTTTGATGTATAAGCTGGAGGCCGAAAGAAGATTGGGTCATTTTTTTTTTTTTTTTTTTTTTTTGGCGCCGAATATCCTGTGCTGTCGGCAAAGTGATATATTCCGTTTGCGTGCCTATTACGCTAAATAGCAGCGGCATTTGTTGGCCAACTCAAGATCCGAATGCCTATCTATACTCCATTATTATTGATGGATCCCCAATGCTACCTCCGTAGCAGCAGAAGCATGGCGAGCTCATATATGAAGCGCGAATCGCTCGGAGAGTGATGGTCGGCGGAGCGGAAACACAGCATGTGCACACACATACCGCCTGGGTACCCTCTTTGTCTCGGCTAAATTCGCAAACTTGCTTGGTCCCCTTGTTAGATAGCAGGAATCTGCCTCCGCTTCTGCATGTTTTGGCAAGATTAAGCGGCTTTAGATGCATTTCCTAGCAGCAGCGTTAAGGAATCGTGGTCTCTGATAGGAGCTCTTGGTGACTTTGACGCTAAGCTTTGGGGTAATCCGAGGCTCTTTGGCGTCTTGTGATACATGCTGCGGCTTACCAGCACGGCACATTTGGCTCAGATTTAATTTCCTCCTCGTCGTTTTAACTTTTGCCCCCTTTCACATTGAGGTGTTCAGATCCTTGCCTGTTTCTGCACTCAAATCCAGGAACCTAGTCCTAAGACAGTTTTGGTTGCATGAATGATAGACAGCCTGTTTAGTTGTCTTTCCTATACCAGCTGACCAAGAATACGGACGTGGTCTCGTTTACACAAAACCTGTGCTCATCTAATGGGCTCGACTCGCAACGAACTGTTCGCCAAACGACGAGAATTTGCTCCGCTGGCGGCATGTTGCTTAACTGATAGAAGCCAACGCTCCGGCACCACATGCCGAAACAGTGTCTAGTCGTCTGCCGCGTTGATGTTTCTTAAACGGCTTGCCCCTTTGTGTGGGCTCTCCCGGTTATCCCACTTTTTATCGGTGAGGCGATCAGTGGTTTTAAGCTCCACCGCGACGGATCAGTTCGTGTATCCCCCCCACCACCAGATACCGCGATGCGGCATCGTCGCCCATCTGTCACCTCAACCGAGGCGCCAGGAAGCTGTGCCCTGGCATCACCTGCCGCGCAGGCATCCATTTCGTAAACAAAGATGCGCCATGGCTCGGGCTTTTCCGGTCCAAGGTTCAGACAATATGCACATATATGCACGTAATAAGGAACCGTCCCATCCTGGCTGCGGCTACTGCCTTTGCTGCCCTAGCTAGGCACGCACGCATGGTGTGGCCCGCGCAGCGGCATAAGTCAATGAAAGTGCATCCCGACGCAGGAGAAAAAAAAAGGCCAGGCTCGCCCACGGCACCTCGTCCCCCCTCATTCCATCCCTTCGTTGGGTCTCTGATGACTACAGTATAAGAGAAAGGCGGATCGTGTGCCATATTCTGCACAATTTCCGGGTCGTCATCACATATGTATGTGCCCTTTTCCCGCGGCAGGCCAAGACGTCTGTCCATTCGTACCTCTGTCGCATACGCACGGCAATTGCAGCATGGTGTGTATGGGCAAATGTAACGTCAATGTCGCGGAAAATTGAGGCCCCAGTCTGGTATTTATACGCACATGAACCGCACACTATCCTGCGACATCATTAAAACAATACCACTGCCGTCGTGGAATTCAGAGCAGACAAGAAAAAAAAAAGCACGCTACACAATCACGCCTAGCGAGAGTGCGAAAACACATAGGACTGCGGCCTGCATTGGCTGCGAAACGGTAACATCATGATGCGGATTGCAGTCGCCGGCGGAAGGGGCTTCGGGTTTCTGCTGGCGACAGAATTGGCACAGGCGGCGAATGCGTACAACGTTGTTGTTCTATCAAGATCTGTTGGGTTTTCCACGCCACATTTTCCATGGAGCTCGGGGATTTTGCGTGTTAACCCTGCGAGTAGGCAAGGCCCGAATTCGACCAGTTCGACGTCCAAGTCCATGTCGTAGACTACCACGACCACAACAGCCTAGGTTTTGCGCTCCAAGGGGTCGATCTGGTCATATCAACGATATCCGGCACCGAACAGCTGCATCTCATCGATGCTTCCGGGCGCGGGCGCGTCCGCATGTTTGTCCCCTCAGAATTCGAAGGGCCCCTTAGCCGACGGCCCTCGCGGAATGATCCCCTAGATCGCGGGTCCTCGCAAGCGCTTGCTCTGCTAAACCAGTGGTCTGAGTCGTCACGAATGAAATATACCGTTTTTTCATGCGGCCTCTTTATGGAGCGATTTCACCCTTGCGGCATTATTAACACCTTTGGCATCGGCCACGGCTCTGGCGTGGGCGGTCCTGGAGAATTTCTCGTCAATTCTGGGACAGGCGCGGCCGAGTATCCGGAACAAGATTCCAAAGGGCATTCGGTACGTGTTTGCCTCACATCGGTGTACGACGTGGTTCGATACATCGTGGCAGCTGTCGACCTGGGGCCCTCGCATTGGCCCCGTGAGTATACCATGTTCGGGGACCGGATGAAAGTCCGAGACCTCATCACCACATACAGCACCGCTTGCAATGGTTAGTTTGTCATGGCACACACAGCCCAAGATCTCAGTCTCCGTGGGATTCCCATGCCAAAAGACCCCAGCAGGTGACACAGAGAGCTAATGCACTTGTTGTTAGCGGTGTTTACACGGCATGTGCAGCAGCCCGCAGAACTCGAAGCCTTGCTTACCTATTATGCTCAACTGGGCGACTATGGCAAGGTGGCATACTATCAGAGGCTCCTTGCGACAGCCAACGGGCGGTACGATTTCTCACAGGCGACACTAAACGAAGCCGTCAACCGGAGCAGTAGCGTCAGCGTCCAGCCAGTGACATTCGGCGCCTGGCTGACGAGCGTATGGCAAACATTTTAGCGAAAAACCATGGCACGGAATTTTCTCTTTTGCTGTCTTTTCTTGGGGGCGGAGGCTTTTCTTCTTCTTTTGATTGGCATGAAATCGACATGGATTGGCGCCGGCGTTGCGTCAGGCTTTGGTTCATCTTGCATCCCTCGAGGGAAAACAAACAAAATCGTTCGTGGCATAGTCTGGGTACTGGGCCATCGAGCTGGAGTGATATAAAAGCGTCAGATGCAGCATTCGTCGAGCACTTGCTCGCAACGACCTGTAACTAATAGATACGAAGTGTTCCTCGAGCCTCTCCCGTCACACAAAGAGTAGTAGCGATATGGGGGGCAACTGGAAGATAGCATGATACCCAGCACCAATGTCCGCAGCCTGCGGCCCAAATTGATCTTGGGAGGCGGCCAGGCCAGGCCAGGCCGTGCCCTCGTACAGTATGGCTGGCAGGCAGCCAAAATGAAGTTTCGTCTGATTCGTCTGTCGCCCCCGATGTCTCAGACTCGCAACCATTCCATCAGGGAGTCGGCCGTAAGCGCTCACCAGCGTCATTCATTAGTCGAATCCGCAAAGGAGTTGCTGGCAGCAAGTCATTGGACCTCTGCCAAGTGCGCGCAAGCCACGGAAAGCTGGAAGCGACACAGTCTCACCCACATCCTGAAGACTGTCGAATTGTGAAAGAAGATGTTTTTCGGAGAAATCGAGAGGGAATTACGAAGTAGAAGAACAAGTTTTTTTTTCAATGAGGGCAGCTGACAAGCGAGCTGAAAAAAGGCCCTGGCAGATAGTCGCGTTAGCACGGAGTCCGGCAGGGGCCATCGTCTGTACCTGCCGTAGGTGGCTGTTGAGTGCCTACGGTGAGCTCCCGCCTACGAAATATGGACTCAATGTCCTTGCATGCACCGCTCTTTGCGCTGGTCTAGTGCCTGTGCATGTCAGCTCCAGGACCCCACAGCGGTCTTGGCCAGCGATGCTCCGGGGGAGTTAGCGGTGGCGGCGGCTGTCGGCTAATCTGGTGGGTTCAGCTGATGTCGTGCTTGAAGCAATTGATCTGAATGCTTCAACCCTTGGTGCAAAGCAGTGAGTGGGCGGGAAAGAAAAGAGTCACAAGGAGAGATTGAGGAAATAGTGACCGAGTGATAATAAGTGATAAAGGGAAGGAAAGAAATTATGCTCAATAAACAAGTGACCTAAGTCTGTTCTCAATATATTCTTTGTGAATACTACTAGACGACTTGAACATTACACGTCCTTTTCAGGGTCGTACTCCTCCCCAAACTCAGTCACAATCCACAGACAAAACTTCTCCCACTCCACCTGCCACTCCTTCAGCCGCTCCGCCTTGATGCCGCTGCCGAGACTCGCCTCCTTGATTCCCTTTGCCCACTCCTCCTGGTTCTGGTCCTCAAACGTAGACCATCGAATGCTGTTTTCCGCCAGGCTGCCCAGACCAGCCAGGCCCAGGTTGCCCCAGCCCTGAAGAGCCTGCCAGAAGTCGTGAGACATGCCGGCCGTATCCTGTCCCAGCATGGCCGGGTCATCATTGCAGAGACTGCACGGAACGCCACGGGCCAGAAGGGCGGGCAAGGGATGGGCGGTGACGGATCCGCAGAGACGCAGGACTTCGTTTGAGATGGGGCACGACTCGATGAGGATGCGCTTGTCCTTGACCATGTCGATGAGCAGCGGGTGCTTGTAGAGGCTGAAGCCGTGGCCGATGCGGCGCGTGCCGAGCAGGATGGCGTCAAACAGGTTGTTGTCCGTGCTGGAACCGTCCCCGAGCGTCTCGCCGGCGTGGAAGTAAAAGGGCAGGTTGACACCCTCCTGCGCACACTGCTTTCGGAACCAGAAGAGCTCGGGCAGCAGGTCGGTCAGTGGCTTGCCGAGGTCTTCGGGCCCCACGAGGTCGTATCCCGCGATGAGCTGGGGGAACTCCATCTTGGTCGTGATGCAGTGGTCCATGTTTTCGACAATGCGGCGCGTCTCAAAGCTGCGGAGCGTTGTCCAGATCAGGGCGAGGCCCCAGAAGCCTTTGCCCTCCTCTGTGGCCTTGAACTTGGCAACTTCCTCCTCGATGACCTTGCACATGTGGCTGTAGTCCTTTTCCGGCTCCTCACAGCGGTCACGGCAATAGTCCAGTGGCCATGTAAACCTGTTTCGATTAGACCTTGTAACGTTTGTAGAACAGAATGAAGACATATATAGGTATACAGGTTAGATGAAAAGGGAGAGGGGGGGGGAGAAAGCTCATACCGCAGTTCAGCCCAGTTGACCCCATCTGCTTTGAGAAGGCTCATCAAATGACGCAAAAAGGCACGGAACATGGGCTCATAGTGTATCATGGTGGCAACAACAACAAAGCACTTGGCAAACTTTTCCCAGATGGCGTCGATGCCGTGGTGCTGCTCATGGCTGTCGACGAGTGAAAGCGTGCAGCGGCTCTTGAGCCACTTCAGGAACCCCGGCCGGCCTCCCTCTGGAAACTCATCGGCCACCTTGGTGAGCAACAGAAAGGAGCCCGGCTCATACGCCTCGTCCCATATGGATCCGTTTACAAGCTCCTTGTTCCTGAACCTGAAGCGGAAGATGGCATTCTCCCTCGCCTCGTGCGTTTTTAGCGACACGTCGCTGGACATGTGCATCCCCGGCGTCTTGAGAAGCTGGTCCAGGATAAAGTCAAAGTCGACCATGGCGTCCATGTGGGCGTGCAGCAGACACCCCTTGGGCATGCGGCGCACAATCTTCCACAGCTTGGTCTGCTCCATGCGGTCCTTGGCCAGCATGAACATCATGCCGGGGAAGATGCTCTGCCTGGTCTCGCGGGCCAGCTGCTCCTCGACGCTGGGCGTCCACACGGCGGCCTGCTCCTGGGCGCGGATGCGGTCGACAATGGCGCAGGCGCGCCGCGCGATGGGCGTCAGGGCCTTGCGGAACGAGGCATCTGATCTGGTTTCCTTTTCCTTGCCGATGAGCCTCTCGCGGCCCGCCAGATACTGCTGCAGGAAGGGATCCGACTTGGCGGGGAGGTCCTGGGAGAGCTCCTCCCAGAGGTCGTCAGGGATGGGCATGATTTTTTTAAGGAGTCAAAATGGTGAAAGTTTTTTTTTCTCCTACTGCACGATACCGCTTGTCTGTCTGCTGGGCTTGGTAATACACCAGACATGCAGTTGATAAGAAAGTAGAAAGCGGTCTGCCCCAGAAATGCGGAGTCGCAGGCCGTCCGGCTTGTTGGCAGCCTTATGAAGAAAAACTTCGGCGCGGAGGTGGCCAGAAAAGCCGGAGACTACATGTATTAGCTCCGGCTGGTCGGCCGGGGCCGTTGCAAAGGATGCGCTTAATGGAGGCAGACGTGAGTCACGACCGATCCGTGAGAGGGATTTTGGGGCGCTCAATTCCGATCAAGTCTAAAAGTACTGCCGTGAAGACGCGTGTAAGTGTGTGCGGTTGTGGCAACGCGTTGGCTGCTGGGCTGGGCATTTGCGAGTGGTTAGGATATTCACGGCTAGACTCGCATGTGGCTGAAGCTGTTAATCCAAATCCAGGCAAAGACAGGGACACGCGTGGTATGTAGTTCAATAAAATTTGAGTGAAAATTAGATGATGGATCCAACGCTTTAAGACGTTGGTAAAGGAGTTGAAGTCAGGAGAAATTGAATGTCTCATCGCCCCATGTCCGTGCTATTTAGCACAACTTACATACCTATGCAAATGCATCCACATGTATGCACATTTGTATACTGATACTATGTGCACTTTATATATATGTATGCAAGAAAACAAAGCCAATGAAGGGTTTCAATCACAAACATTCAACGGGACAACTCGCCCGGTTGTTTAGCCGATTCTTAAGCTATTGCAGGTGGTCCTTTGATTCCATCTCTCCATAGTAACCAACAACAGTGAGGCTGATGTCTCTGCCCGCTTATTCGTCTAATCACATCTGAACCCCTGCATCGCTACGAAACAAAACGGCCTTTGACAGATCTCCTTAGTAGGCCTAGGTAATATTACTTCATAGCTATAATTCACTATACTAGATGAAACTTCTATATTGACCAGTCATCTGTCTTGGCAGCCTGTGGTGGTGATCTCGCGCCCGAAAAAGGGAGATGCGCTACGGGCTAGCTAGGCCTCCTCTCTGCGCTGATTCGCCAGGCGATCACCAGCACCAAAATCCCACTACATGCCGTTTGGGGAATATCACAGTGACTCCATAGCTAGCAGGGCGCTTATGGCTTTTGATCTCATACTTTCATGGCTAGTGGAGCTTCGAGACTGCCATTCAGTGTCTCGGGATGTGCGATGGTAGTATTTTGTTGGTTCCATCTAGTGAGCATTGTGACGGGTGATGTTGGCTGGGTTTGCAGGTTCTTCATTTGGCTACGCCTGCTCATGCCCGTTTTATGAGTATAATATGGAGCTATTGGCAATTGAAGAAGTCCGGTGATGCAACTATAAATTCTCTGATTCTCCCCGTTGCAATCTTCACAGAGCAGATCAGTTGCCACTGGATTAATTGAAGTACATCTCTACTATACCAGCATACTCAATATCCCAGTACACAACAAGTCCATCAAGCAAAACAAACAACACAATGCTTTCCTCAAAGCTGTTCCTCCTCCTCTTTTCCTCACTCACATCCGCTCTCGTCATCCCCAGGGACTACGACGTCCCAGCCGGCTACTGCTGCTTCACCCTCACCGAACCCTCCACAAATCAGGTCATCCAGCAGAACAAGGAATACGGCTTCCTCTACTTAGACGCAAGCCAGCCAAAGGGATGGTACTGCTTCAACTCCGCCAAGTCACAACCCATTCTTTGGGACGACTTCAACAATGCTTGCATCATTGACTGGGAGGGACAATTTCAATGCCTTGATCCTACCCCTGGCGATGACGTGTGGACGCTGGGTCATAGCGGTAGCAGCAGCGATCTTTTGCTACTTCATAATGGCTCTCCGACTTATCAGGCGTGTCCGAACCAGTCTGGGGGTGAGTTCATCTCGTCTGGGGGAT